TCCATGTTTTTCACAAATTGACAATATTCTACGGAAGCTCACTTATAGAAAACAATCAATAAAATGAGATACTGTTTTGGTACGTAATCAAATTTGCATTAGTAAATCAACATTAGCTTACAAGACGGGGGAACTTGACGTCTCAAAGCTTCTACCTGAAGCCTATTTCTTATAGCTTTCCGAGCTTTGAGGGGTAAGCGGTTTCGCTTCTTACGTGTCTTAAGGATGTTAAGATTAGCGCTATAACGCCTTAGAAGGAGGAGAGTCTTTAACTCAAGGGAAGGAGGCTGGTGAAGCTCTTTGTACTTCTCAATTAGTACCTGGTCCTTAGCCTTACGCTTAGAGATAAAGTCTTTAACGACGTTGAGAACGAGAATACCTGTTGAACCTAAACTTTCCTCTATATCCTCGGTTCCGTTCCGTCTACAGTATACGATCGCACAAATGTTTGTCCTATACCTTAATAACAAATTGACAAGTTGCTCACTACTCAGCTTGCGGTTATTGTTGCTGCGGTGCCTACTTATCGAGTTATTAATGGCGTCGTGCCAAATTACAAGGTCGTTACGGTGCGACAAGTAGTGATGAAGGTAGTACTGTATCGTTTTCTGAGAGTCCCTAGCGTTAAAGTTCAAACTTAAACCTGGCTTCGTAAAGCAAGTATCTTTGACGCGCTTCTGGGACGGAGCGGGAAGTTTTCGGAGCGCGTGATCCAAAGAACTAGCTCCTAGGATGAATACCATACACTTGGGGGACCTATGCGACGGCTTCGTTACGCTTAAGTACCAATGGGGTTGGAAAATTAAGTAGGTCGGTTGAACTCCAACAACACACACGGAGTAAACCTGAGGATGAAAGAATTCAACTTAACTCACTTAATATCACCGTACCTGACCACTTAACTTTACTGTCACGCAACGAAGTCAATAATCTGACGGGCTGAAACGGCTTTGTTTTACTCGAAGCGAACTGGCTTTCAGTTTCACCAATGGTGGGTGGGGGATCAGGCAAATTGGTGAAGTTCCAACAACACACGCGGAAGAAACCTGAGGATGAAAAAACTCAACTTAATTTGCCTGATATTTCGCTACCAGACCACTTAACATAAGGTTGGTGTCATCTTACAGCACAGTTTCGCAGAATTCTGGAGACGTTTTGAGGATTTTTTGGCAATTTTTTACTTTTTATACCAAATTTTTCAGAAAATTTTGGTCAGCAGGTTCGAGTCATAAACCAACCCAAAAAACTAGTCCAGTACCTCTTGTCTATGTTCCGATTTCACTGATTAATATTCCGTTCACATATATCCAAAAATTTTTGGTATCGAGAAAAAAATGTCAAGTCAGTTTGTCTATGTACCGACTAAGATATTTCAGTTCAACGGAACTGTCCAAAATTTTTGGGTATTGAGAAAAATTACCGGGGGCTAGCTTGCGGGAAAATTTTTAGCATAAATGACATCGTATATAAATTTATAGCACGAATGGAAAGTTATAAATGTTTTGGAAACGTCTTACAGTTTATGTAGTGTTAGGAGATTGGCTGCACCGGTTGAGGGTTGTCAAACCATCGATCTGCATCTCAGTGATCTGAAACAAAGGATCTGCCACTCAGCATTCTGCAACACAGGATCTGGCACTCAGCAATCTGCAAGACAGGATCTGCCACTCAGCAATCTGCAACACAAGATCTGGCACTCAGCAATCTGCAACACAGGATCTGCCACTCAGCAATCTGCAACACAGGATCTGACACTCAGAAACGTGACGTCTGACGTCTCCAACGTATCGCTTGTCGCTAATCCCACGCTGATCCCACGCTTGTCTCCCACGTATCGCTTGTCGCTGATCCCACGCTTGTCTCCCACGTATCGCTTGTCGCTGATCCCACGCTGATCCCACGCTTGTCTCCCACGTGTCGACCGACTTCGTGTCGTGGTCGGTCCCTTGTCGAGAAAAGAAAGACCTCGGTGTCCTTTGTCGTGAAAAGAAAGACCTCGATGTCCCTTGTGGGGCGCCAAAATATGCTCGCTAATCTCCAAACGAAAATAATTGCATCCAAATTCGTAAATTAATAAGAGATATTTATCGGTAAATAACTCAGGCAATAGATAAATTTCGGTATTTTTCTATTGATCAGGACATCATACAACATTTTTAGCATCTGAGCGTTTTTGGTACAAATCGGCGCAAGCTAGCCACAAGGACCGGTCGGTAATGTCCTTGAGACAAATTGCTCTTTTTGGCGGTCAACCTTAATCAAGGCTGAACCGAATTAGAACCAAAAAACAGTTAAAATAGGATGTAACCCCCGTTTTTAGTATATTAATACATGGGCAGGTGGGGGACTCGAACCTACGTCAACTGTTAACCTATATAATCGGCGTTAGCTTAGGCCACTCGGCCAACTGTGCTTATTGTTGTTACATTTTGGTTCAGTTTTATGCATTTATACTATTGTTTTATATGCATCTATACTCTACATTCTATACTCTACATTTGCATTGCAACAAATGATGCAAGTCATTTGGGCTTATAAAGAGGATACGAGACGCGAATTACATCCCATTGTACTTTAAATGGCGTGCGGGGAGATAAAAGGATGAGAAAATTGAAAAAAAAAATCTTTTTTGATGTTTTTTCGTGATTATATTACAACACTTGCGAGAGCTATTTTTTTCCCGTAAACATCTTTTCCTGTAAAACGGTAAGAAATTGAAATTTTTCATTTATTGAAAATTAAAAACATTCAGACTCCTTCCCACTTAACCTTGAGGTAACGCGGTACTCCTCGCACCCTAAGATCTGGGGTCCGACTCCCGTCCTTTTTTTTTCCAATATGTAATAAATCAAACGTTTTATCAGGTACGAATTGAACTATTGGATTTTCGTTTGACTGATCAAACTTTGAAGGCTTAGGTGCCAAATCACGTTGTTTTTTGTGCTGTAATTTGTCTTGAATGATTTTTTTTAAACAGTTTTTTTTCTCAACTTTTTATGTTTTTCGATATTTGCGTCGTATCTCGAGTGGTGCAAAGTGCTCGGCTACACCTTTGGGTCAATTTTCTAGCCAAAAATTTTCATTGGACCTAAACTTCGTTTTGTTTTATATTTCGCTCAAAGCCTAATACACGAGCCACCCTGATTGTTTTTCTGCCAATACTTTCAAAGTAAAAATTATTGCCAATTTTTTAGGAGAGAAACAAGTTTAAGTCTCAGCAACTTTATTTTTACAGCATTCTGCTGTCAACTCAAAACACTATGAAAATTTTTCATCATGCAGACATGAATAGATGCTACAATCAACTTGAAATTCGATAGAAGATATTTATCTATCTTTAACCAGGTAACCGGTTTTCGGTTGGTAACTTTTCAAGTTTGTACTAGTCTGGAACATCCAAAACGTAGAAGAATCAGTTTGGACTAATTTCATCCGTTTTGAAACTTTTGCTTGATCTGAGTGCTGTGGACATGGTATTTTGAACTTTGATAAAACCCTCAATTTGTCAATTATTTCTGCTGCAAAAATTTTTTTGACCAACAATTTGATGTTTTTAATTTGACTTTTTCAATAGAATACCCCGTAAAAAAGTCTTAAATTTCGTAGTACAATTAATACTCTTCCATTTTCTAGTAAACAGATATCACTGTTTTGCCACCATGAAAGATGAACGATTTTTGACTACAAAATGAGAAAATGAGCGTTGAAAAACCAACAAATTGGTGATTCGAAAAAAATTTTATTGTCTCAAATAATGAAATAAATATAAGTTTCTAGGTACTTTGCCATAAAATTTGCTCACTAAATGGCTTTTTTTCTTAGAGTTAAATTTTGTAATCAATTATAGAAACAAAAATGAGTCCTAACTTGGAAATTTTGCGGCTGTCAACAGACCCATATTGCATAGGCGCAACGCAACCAGTTTTTACTTGAAAATATCTGGACTTAAAGCGTCGAAAATTGTGAAATTGTGAAATTGTGAAATTGTTACATACTAAACTTGTGTCGCAAATCATTTTAAAATAGGTATTTTTTAGATAGTTATGTATTAGATATTATTTAGTTATATATTTACCCGCCACTTGTTTGCTTAGAAAAAATTGTACCTGGCCACAATAGATGAAGCTTTCCGTGTGTCTAAGTTCCTAATGAAAAAGGGCACTCAAGTGTCATCGTCGGCTTTTCTATGCGATTTGTATTTTAAAAAATCTAGGCAACTTATTTATCCAAACACGTTGATTTACTGTTTTGAGAAGATCTCTTGTTCATGTGGTGGCTGAAATATTATCAGAAAACTACTGTACGGTTTCACTGGCTATGATGGCTACGAATACAGGTTTCTTTTCACCTCGCGGATTGACCAAAAGTCTTAGAACTTTTCTTATACAAATCTTCCAACTTCTTACAAAATAAGGCTCTAAAATTGTTACCAGATAGGGACTTTTTCCTACCGAAAAGTTATAAAATAGTTACTTTTCATACAAGCCAATTGTATGATAGAAACTTTTCCTACGAAAGTTTTTTTCAAAAAATGTCTGTGTTTATCTTTTAAAATGTTCTTTCTACCAGTTTAAAAGTTTTCCACTGTCGCAGAGTACAATAGCGGAAACTAGTAGGTCAAGCGACTCCTTTTGCAGCATGAGTTCACTGAAAAAGCCACCAACCATTGTTTTACAGAGGTAGTTTTTTGCTGATAACCAGAAATTTTGTTGATATATACCTGAACCCCACATAAATTATTTCCGCACAGACATCATTCGTCAACGATGATTTTTTATTGTCTCCAAAATAATTTTGAACCGCTAATTTTCAATAAATAAGAGATTCAACAAAGAAAAAATTCAAATTTTGTTTCGGAATTTTTTTGTTTGAAATGCTGTTTATAATTTGTAACAAAATATTTTAAAGTATCATTTAAAGTAATCAAAAGTGATCAAAAAAACTTTCGAATCTAAGGTCGCTTTGAATAATGTTGGTCTAACTTGTTTAAAAATTGAAAATACAAAGAAGTTAAGATTAATTGAGTACTTTCATTAAAATTAAGCAATTGCTCACAAAATCAAATTGAATATAATACAATACTCCAATATAAAACACGATCGAAAAGTTGGAATACAGAATACACCCTTTTCGGACAGTCTATACATCTCAGATGCTTGGACAGAAAAAGTGATTACATAATTTTGAAATCAATGATTTGTAGCACCGGAAAATATGTTACCCTGTATTGGTCGTTTAAATAGTTTTTGTCACTTTGAGAGACTATTTTCAAATTTTAACACATAATAAAAAGATTCATAAAATCTAATTGATTTACTATCACAAAAATGTTTGTTTGTTCTTTTTCATTAAAATGAAATCTGGCTTTCAGTAAACTTGAGATCTAGGAACGAATCTATCTCCATTACCGTTTAATTCTAAATTCGAGTTCGGTTGCTGTTCCATTCCCGAGGAATTTTCAATTCGCCTGCAGGAAGTTGGCGGGTTGCTAATTGTTTGAGAGTTTGCGGCGTTGGGTTCGGATTTGATCGGCTGTTGCGGGTTTCTAGATTCCTCCAATTCTTTTCTTCCCTGAAAAAATGAAGTCTCTTCCGTTCTAAAAACGGTTGATTTGTTTTACTATCAAATTACTGCAGGCAAATCTCCAGATTAATTTCGATATTTCTTTAAAAAGTTTTATCAATTTAATGACATTAAAGTATACTATTCGACAAAATTATGATAAAATTGTCAATGTTTAGATACAATTGTATTTTCATTCGAAGTTTTGGACGGACGTACAGCTTTTCCAATTTCGCCCATTCGGTTTTTGGCGAACTCGATGCGGATTCCTCCTTTCTCGGACGACTTCAGAATGTGACCTTGAAGGGCTGTCATTGCAATGATTGCAGCTGCCGACGACTGGGAAAAATATTCATACATACTCAAAATCGGATAGAAAACTTACACAGAACAAAAAAAATAATACGGCTTGTAAACTTACATTAAATTCGACAAAACAAACTGGAGTTTGGCCGTTGTTTCTGTACATCTTCAGCCTGTTGAACCCAAAGAAACTAAAAACATAGACAGCGAGCTGAATGATTAAGTAAAATTGAAAAAAAAACTTTTATGTTTTGCATCTGCAAAATATAAGGCAAAAAATGAACCTAGTGTACATACTCGCCCCGAACCCAGGTTGAGGTGGTTGAACTATCCTTCGTAGAAATCTGTCGACCATTTTTATCTACCGTAGGAACTTTTCAACTATTTTTATGGGATATCTATAAGTGTTTTTTCGTTGTGATACTTCATCAGATGAACCAAAAAGTGATAAGACTTTTAGAGATTTTTTGGCAGCAATTTGGTGGCGAAAAAAAAACAAACAACGAATGTAAAAGTAGTTTAAACTGGTCGACCCGTGTACCGTCCCTCGTCGACTTATGTATTGATACCATATTTGGCTGACCTATATAATTTGGGTCGAAAAGCGGAATTTTTGATAGCCTCTACAGTCGATGCATTGTTCGATCACCTCAACCCTCGAAATATTTTAGAATAGGATATTTTTGTCCCGACTTTCAAAAAAGTGTACGAAATTTGAGTCGTAAGACATTAATACGACCGATTATCTAGCCGCAATTCAATTTGGAACTGAATAATTTTTTTGCGGAATAATTTGCCACGCATAAATCGTGTTACGCTTTCAGATCTATGGATAAAATCTTCAAAGTGCGCATAAATTAGTCCAGAGCATGGCTGAATTAGTAACTTTCAAACTCCCATAACTTTGTAAAAAAGGATTGGAGGTAAAATATTTTTTACGCTCGATTTCAAGTCGATATCTTTAATGGGGTATAAGGGGTTTTTGTTAAAAACTTTTATTTTGATTTCCGAAAATTGACTGAATAAAAAACCACACCAAGCATAAATATTTCGTTTTCTTCGAAAGTCGAAACCATTAGCCATTTTTTATACCACCTGAAAGGTATTGTTATCCTGAGCTCAAGTTTTAAAAAAATCACCTCCGATCAGTTTTCGCAAAGTTATGGGTTTTTTTAAATATATTGCTGATATATTTGGCGGATATATGAGCGGAAATTTAATCCTTCTGAGAAATCGTAGTAAATTGAATTGAGGCTTGCTGTTTAGTCTTGCTATGTTTACTTAAACATAGCCTGTAGGGGATGGTTTTATACAAAACAATAGCTCGCATTGTTAATTTTTAAGCGATTTTTGTAAGCAATTACTTTGAGCCAAGTTTTCATTTTTTTCGGTCCAATTAAGGTTTTACCATTTGATGAAAACAAACTAAAACTACGAGGACCGTGTTCTAGATCTCGTATGACGGTTTTTTCAATTTTGTGGATCAATAAATTAAATTTTAATATTATGAACAAATTTGGAAATAGATGAAAAAACACACTCGGGAAAACTGACCCATTAAAAATGAGACTGAGCTCATCTTCAGTTGATCCATGTCCCAAATTTGCAATGAACAAAGTGCTGTTATTTGTGGTCGGCGCCGTCATAGACCCCAATCCGTTGTGGGCCCCGAAGGCCGCTGCAGGCGACGCGAACGAAGGCATCGCAATGGCTGCTGTCGGCGAGTGCAGCGGATGGCCTGTGGCGAGTTGCGGGTGTCCGGTGGCGTGACCTTGAGACGCGAATTGGGCTAGGAGCTGGGCAGTGGACATGGCTGCTGCGGCCTGTTGCGAGGCGGCGGCTGCACCTAAGGCGGCACCCGTGTGTGTCTGGGGCAGGAGGGTTGCAGCTGTCTGCCCCTGGTGCTGGTGCTGGTGTTGCTGTGGTGTCCCGGCGGCGTGGGCTAGATGGGGGAGGTGACTGCTGCTGTGGTGCTGCTGTTGGTGGTGGCTGTGGTGTGTGGTGTGCAAATGTTGGTTAATGTTGGCGGCATTGGCGGCTGCCGCGGACAACAGTGCAGATGCGGCTTGGTGCTGTGCGACCTGGGAGAGGAAAAGAAAAGCGAAATGAAAAAAGAAAATTAACAAAAATGAAAATTATCTAACTCAAAAGAAGAAAAAGAACGAGAACAAATCACCAATTCAACTCAAATAAGAAAAACCATAAAAGAGGTAAATCTACTTCAAGTCCGCAACAACACCATCAATTTTGGTGTTCCATCTTCGCGTCGAAAAAAAATTTGGATGTTATTTTTCCAAAAGTTTTGACATTTCGTTCGATTATATATTAACTTTTTCTTGTCTTTTTAAGAAAACTGTTCACGGTTTCAAAGTTTGATTTTTTGTTAACCTTTACCGACTTATAACGAAACTACAAACTTTTCTTGGAGAGACAAGACTAGTTAAAAATCCTAGTGCAACAAAATTGACGAATATTAGTTTCAAAAAAGTAGCCAATTTAGAATTATAAGTGTAGTTTTCCGTGTATAAATGAGCTTTGGGTGTTTTTTTCGAAACAAACTTCGACTTTTACAGCTGTTTTTGACGGAATTTTTTATACAGTATGAAAGATATTCAGTGTTCAGAAATACAAAAAAATTTTCTCTGTCTATTTTTTGTAAACTTATAGGGGTTCGAGTTTGACTACTTTGACTACTTAAACCGAGATTGGGAACGCCTGTTATCATGGGCGGATTCAGAGGGGGGCGGGGGGCGGACGCTTCCCCTCGCAGGGATTCGACCCCCTGCCGACCCAAAGGGTCCCCCCTTTGGTATTTTTTAGAAATCCATTTTCAGCCGACCGATCCTTAAATTTTTCTAAAGGCGCCTTCGGCGCCAATATCTATTAATTTTGAGGAGGGAGCGCGCGCCAAAAAAATGTGATTTTTTGGTCAAAATTGTCCAAAAAGTGCCCTAAAAACGCCTTTTTTTGACTGTTTTTCAAAATTTTGCCTGCGGCGCACAAAATTTGAAAAATTTGGCCAAAACAGGGACTAAGCCTGCTTAGGAAGAGCTCGAAAAATCAATATCAATTCGGTCAACCTAAGAAAGAAAAAGTCGACAAAATTTTCGAAATTGAAAATCCCCCCCCCCCCCCTGCCTGTTATATTTCGTCCTAGTCTTTGTCTTATTCTAAACTGAATTATGGCAAGTAATTTGCTCGTTCTAATTTTTTATGTATAAACTAGTATTTAAGAAATAGTTTTTTTTTAAATTTCGATTTAAAAAAGCAGTCAGATCATTCAAGATTTTGCGCAGATGCAAACAGTCCTGTTCATTTTTATGGCGTAAACTTTTTCCCCTTTGGCCAGATGACAGCATCTATAGTGATGTTGTCGAGGATTTGCAAGTGAGTTATTTCTGTTATATGGCGTTATGAATATATATTTTTTTCATAGCCTCATTTTTCCATATGGCATCAAAGTTAGCTGCTCACACCAGATTTTGACAGTTAACTTGGATGAAAAGACTGTTCAAAAGAGTGCCGAACTCAATGTGTGCCGAAACATAAAATTACTTGCGAGCTGAACTTTGACATTACTTTGATTTGCGTAATATTTATTGTCCTTTCCTATAATTTTCAGATGGGTCTTTAATTGAAATTTAATGTAAATTCCTGAAACAAGTTGTTGAAGCATGTTTTTCAAAAATTAATTGGTAATTGTGCTACTGCTGCTACAGTAACCTTGAGATGTTATGTTAAATATATGTATAGATATTATTGTTACTATATTCTCAAGGCCATTATGTGCCAACCTGAAACGTTCATGACTGTTAGTCAGTCTAACCGTATTATCTACGGATGTAACATGCGGAGAAGAGACTCAAGATCAGTCTAAATTAACATTACCTCTTACCTGTTTTCAACTCTACTGAGCAAGCAATCTATTAGTTATCACATGGCGCAGCCATCAGGATTTTTGACTCAAGATAACACAACCGACATGGGCATTCCCGTACTCTGGACCAACGCGCAGTGTGACCCATCTCTGAAAAATTTGGTTCGACCAATTTTTACTGGCAGTTACGGTGAAAGAAAACGTAAGCCCAGAGATATTGTTGGAAGATCTGAAGCCAATCTTAGAAGAAACAGTTCCAAGACCAGAGACACCACGGACAACTGAAGATGCGCAGGCAGTTACAGATAGGGAAGCTAGAGACGAATTGGCTCGATACAGAGTTCTGCTAGAGAATGAGGAGAGAAGAGACAGAGGACCTAAAGTTGGCCACAATGTTTATTACAATGAGGTGCAGAAACGACTCGCATCGAGGTCATTTCTAGCACTGGGTACCGAAGGAAAAAACGATTTGTCCAAAAGAACCCACATATGTAAGTATCTAAACTGGAATTTCGAGAAATGGTGAGACTGGCGAAAACCTCTTTTGAGAAGACAAAGAGCGTCACGTGTGATCGGGACAAACTGTCTAACAGATCACAAGAAACAGGAGAAACTCTAGAAGCATTTCACGCGGCATTAACTGCACAGGTAGCGAGGGCGGAACTGGGAACATTGGAAGATGAATTAGTTAGAGATTTATTCATATCAAAACGAATAAAAACGGTATTGCAAGATACATTAACCTTCGAAACATTTCCACCCGAAGACGTGCTAAAAAGATTTTCAAAATTCGGAAAAAATAAACAAACGATACAGCTGTTTCAATAATTGAACACAACTAGTGCAAAAGCAGGTCAACTTATTGGGGCTCACATAAAAATCAAACAGGAACCTATCATAGCTATTGGTAACAAAGGGCCAAACAAAAGAAGACAGACAAGGGATCAATGTAAAAGAAGAACAAATGATACAAAAAAAACAACGGAAGGTCCGGTTTTGAAACAAAAACTTGCATTAGGTATAGGGTCATTTCAGCTATGGGAAAAACTTTGGTAAAAACTGCACCAAACTCAATCATTTTGCTAAAAAGTGTCGGTCGCAGCGGGTAAATAAGATTACTGAAAACACAACTAGTTCAGATGAGAAATGTTCTAAGAACACGAAACTTATAACAATGGAGATTTTAAACCTGACGGCACAGTTCGTAGACTACATTAAACAACCAATCGCGATATTTGGAGCGATCACAGCAAACATCCGTTAAGCAGGATGGGAAGTAATAGGAGCATCGTTTCTTATTACCGAACGCCGCACCACAAAGTGGGGATACACACAAAGTGGGGATACACACTACTCAAAAGCCGGCACCCAGAGAAAAAACAACGAGGTTTGATGTGATACTGCGCGAGCAGTCGGAAGGTTAAAAAAATCACTTTTATAAAAAACCTACGAAGCTTTTTGATCGGCAAGGATGTTCAAAAAACCACGTTATGAACACGAAATTTAAAAACCTTTTTATGTCCAATAAAAGAAAAAGATAGGAGGATACCGATCCACATTCAAGAAAAGGTGCAAACTGAGCTTAACAAACTTCTAAAAGAAGGGCACATTCAACGATTAGACAAATTTACCAGCGATTCCTTTATAGCCCCAATTGTCATCATGGTTTAAAAAAATGATATAAAAAAATTGGCATTGGACGCCAAACCAATTATTAGCCATTTGTTCAAGAATAAGTATCAGATGCCAAATGTTGATGAACTGTTGGATGGAATTAGTCAAATAGTAACAGCGAACACAAAAGAAACTTTATACGTCTCAGTTCTAGACTTGAAATACGCTTATCCCAATTAAAGCTAACTGCTGAAACAGCTAAGCAGTGCAACTTTAATATTATAAGAGGACAGGCAAGAGGTACATATCGGGTTCTTAGCGGGTTTTATGGGCTGGCTGACATGTCAGCAAAGTTCCAAAAGGCAATGGATCCAACCATAAACCACGTAAAAAAAAATGTTTTGCCTTCCAGATGATATTCTGATTGTGTCAAAAGGCAATGAACAAGAAGATTAGTTTCGGATGTACTGAGACGACTCGATGATGAGAACAAAGCACTGTCCAACCGTGAGGTCATAAATTGTTATCGGACGGAATTAAACCAAAAATAACAAAAACAGAGGCGATACTGAAATCAAACACACCAAAATTGCTTAAGCAGCTTGGATCCTTTATGGGTAGCGTAAATCATCAGTCAAAATTTATCCGAAATGCAGCGAGTTTCACAGACAAACTGAGACCTCTACTGCGAGAGGAAAATGCAACGAAAAAATTTTAAAATGTTAAGTTACCAGTAAAAAAATTCGTATGGGGGAAGAATACTCGGGAATATTCGAGACAATTAAAAAAGCGGTAGCATTTATTGCCCAAATACATTACTATAACCCATAGAATAACACTCGAGACAAGTACAAGAAGTGGGAAATGGTTATAACTCAAGTTAAGTACAAAAAGAGGGTTTCTTAAAAAATATGGTTATAACGTTCCTTAAATTTCATTGGCTCTAGCGGCACCATTAGAAAAAATATTGGTTGGCCGAAAATTGGTTGTAAGGAAGGAATCAATAGGAAAAAAATGTTTTGGTTTTAAAAACTTCAAAACATCATAGATCTTTTAAGCCAAATGACTAATTTTAGGAATTTTTGATTGATATTGTTTTGACTTATGGGCAAAATTGATTAACTACTTATGATAACGATACGTAAAATTACAATTCTTTCCTTCTCAGCAAACAATATTTTTGTTTCAACCATTGAAAATGTGGAGGAATTTTGTAATCGTGCGTGTTTCAGTTTTTTATTTTTGTTTGTTAAGCAAAATCAGGTATCACAAATAATCATTGGAATGGATCCAATGCTTTATTCAAATGAAACCCTTTTAAGTGTGTTTCGAGTAAGTAAAGCAAGTGTTCAGGCTTTTTATAGAAGTAAGAGCAAATATTTTTATTTTCATCTCAGTTAATTATTCTTCGAAGTTTTGAATCTCAAGCGAACAAAGTGAGCAAGCAATCTTATTTTGATTGTCAACTAAAATCATTTACCACAATAAATCATTCGAATGAATCAAGTCATATACAAAGAAGTCCTTTTTGTCGTTATTTGAATGGCTTTTTAAAAATGTCAAAGCGTTGTCCCAGAGTCGAAAAAACTCTGAAATTTTTTAAGTTTTAGTCTAAATTTGAGCAAGTAAAACAGGAGAGTAGGCATTTTATAAAAACGTTTTCAGTGCCGTTTTTGAAATACAAACTTCAAAATTTCAAAAAAGGAAAAATAATTACAAGTTTTCTAATTTTTTCTCTCTTCATTTTTCGACAAAATCGTTTTTTTTTTGCATTTCTTCTTTTTCTGTGGCTATTGAATTTGCCTAAATTATAAGTTTTTGATTTTCTCATCACACCACGCACAAAAATCAGCACTAACTTTTTTATATTTTTTTGTCGGAACATGGTCGGAACATTCTGTGCTATTTGCACAGCAACCGGCTATTCTTGTTATTTTGTGCTATCTGTTGAAATATAAAGCACATTTCGAAAACAAGGTTTTCGAAAACTTTGATCACAAAATTGCGGGTGTTTTAGGAGCGTTTTCTACCATAATATTTTATTTGTAATGATTTAAAAAACGGCAATATGAACATTAGGTTTGCTTGGCACTGCGTATTTTTTTCAAAGAACTTCCAGTGCCGGTTCAAATTGTTCAGTGCCTAAATTGAGCAAAGACAATGCATTGAATTTAGCTAGAATTAAAATCATGCAACCTGCTTTGCAGGATCCGGACAAAAAGTTCTGAATCAAGTGTTTTTTTTGTTTTTTGTTTTTGAAACATTGAAATTTTGAAAAACGGCGAAGCGTTTTTTGCGTAATTTTTGATCAAGCAAGTTGAAACCAAAATGACCCGTATATTTTTGTAAAATTTTATGCAACTTTGTTCATCATTTATTGATTAAAGCTGGTTCAGTTTGAAAAAAAAACAAATTCAAAGTTTCCGGTTTTATTCGATTAATTTGAATAACCTCTGTACTTTTGGAATGCATATCACGGTTGATAGATTCTTAAATTATAAACCATTCGATCACCGACAACCAATTTTTGAAGTATCCGAAATCGCGATGTAAAATTTTTACCCCCCCCCCCCCCATCAAAATTTGAAGCGGAGAATAGTGGCTCGCCGATTATAGCTGCGGTTGCGTTGATGCTCGATAAAAGAAACAATACCTAAGACATTTAGGGTCGGGATATATATTTTTAAAACGTAAAATTAACTTCATTACAGAGAAACGTAAAACAAATCAGTCCAGTCGAAATAACCTGTGAAGTTTGTTAAAAACCATTTTTTACTCCACTTGTCACCCTGAAAATTGTTGTTCACTGTTCAAACTGTGAATGAAAAACGTATCGAAATCTTTCACGACGGGGTCTAACTTTGAGATTTACGAAGTGTTGATAATTTTCCAGACAACCTTCCTACCAATGCAACTCAAGACACTTTAGCATTCCTCTCCAGGACACTTCAAGATTACTTGTAAATCAGTGACAGGTAAAGATTCAAATGCCGGTTAATTTTGAAGGTAGCCGGCCGGCAAATCGAATCCGACTGCCCCTTTTCCAGATTAAATTTCAAATTATAAAAACTCTTGCTGGGTGATTTGGAAACACTGTCACTTAAGACGCTTAAACTTTGGGTTTGCAGAATGTCAACAATTGTAGCAAACATTCTGAAAATGCAAACGTTTTACGTCAACAATTTTTCTATCAGAAAAGTGTAGAACATTTCTATGTTTTGTTAAGTTAGCAACTGCTCGTAAACTAATCGAAAGTTTGACAATATTATCTTTCCCGGTTAACGGAGGGAACGTTTGGTATTATTTAGACTGTTATAACTTGAAGTAGATACAGGAGGGTCAGATAAAAGATTTGAAAGGCAGTTAGTTGATTTAAATTGTGTTCTGATAAAGTAGTGGTAGACTATTTCATTAGGTGTTGGTGTGTTTTGGTTTGCAAATTGCCATCAAATTTAGGTTGAGAAATTTGGACGGATTGCCTCGGTATTTCCCTGCGGGTTCCCAGCTACCGTCAATCATCAGGACAGACAGGGAGCTCTAATTAAATTCGAACCCGTTAGATAGTTGAGGCACCAATTGCGACATTTTCCATGCGCAACCCAATTTGGCAAGGGATCTCGGGGGACCTAGACCCGTCAATTGAGACTCGAATTTGAATCAACCCCTCGCTGGGTTGCTCCTTTCACCCCTTCCCAACCCTTCCACCCCTGTCAAAGTTCACAATCACTCGGCCCTTATCTGCAAATCCCTGAGTCCCCCTTATTCTTTTCCCGCCTAACCACTCGCTCCATTCTCGCAACTCATTTCTATTCAGTTTCTAGTTATGACCCTGCTGATTGCACAGAAGAGTACTTCAATGCTTTGAATTAATTATGGCTGCTGATTTAAATTTAACTATGGTAATTTTGGATGTGACCAATTCAAGACTGGTTGATTGTTCGGCACTTCATCTATTGGGTTGAGTCATGAAGTATCAACAAAAAAGTAATCAGCTAAAAAAAAATTTTGATTTTTAAAAGAAAACTTGCATGATTCAAGCAAGATAGAGAACTATTACTTATCCATACCTAAGTGTCCATTTTTTTCAAAGCAAAAAGTAGATCACTATTTTTAGAAAAGGAAGACGGGCTGGGCTGGTGGGATGATTAAATTTGAAATGTACACCTTAGTATGCCGAGCAAGAAGTAAATTGAATTGGCGTGAATAGATTTCAGGCAGGTCTGCTTTTGATTGAGGGCACTTATCAGACCATTAGGGAAAAACCCGCCTCCTTTAATCGCCCAGAGGGCAATTGTTCTGTCAGTCCAGCCCCCATTCATCTCAGTGAAGACTATGAAAGCCAACCACGCCAGATGACAGAATTGGGCAATTGCGTTGACCATTTTGTCACATTTATTCAACTCTCTAAAGCCATGAAAATGTCCCGTTTTTCAAGGATTTGGTTTCTGATGGGCATTAATACTGGACTTAAATTTATGGAAACATATAAATCTGTCAGACGAAATGAAGCTAAAACTTAATAGCGCGTATTTCCTCTCTCCTCGAAAAATTGATGTTTTTTGAACTTTTTTAAATGTAGTCAGTTCGTTCTGAGCTACTTGCACAACAACCGGCTATTCCTGTTGAAACTAAGTCACAGTTCAAATATCAGTACAGAATCAGCTTGTTCGCATTTTCCCTCCGTTTCTGCAGTGGAACTTATCCGCCGACACTTTCCATAACGTCCAGCCTGAGCAATTCTGGCTGACAGCGACAGGTGAAACGGCATCCCAATTAATCTCCGGTCGAAATTCACTAGCAATTCAACAAACATCACCTCAATTCAATCCAATCCCCCACCCGACACCTACTCTCAATGGTCCTTTGACACGTCCTTTATTCATTCAAACCCCCCAAATGGGACCCCCTGTCACGCTACAACTGCCTATTTAAATTCAAACCTCCCCCTCCTCCCGGCATTCATACTTGTCCCGGCATTCATCAAGGATTAGCTACACCGTTTCTCATTGAATTGCTAGTTTTAAATCGCCTCTTAAGACAAAAGCCTATGACGGTTTAAAAATGAGGAAAGAATTGAAAATTCAACCAAAAGGATTTTCAAGGCTTGTCAGATTTTCTCTTGAAATTACCTTTTGATGGTTTTAAATTTCCATTTTATAAAGGAATGATTAAAATGTGTGATTGTTTGTGCAAAAAAAGTAATACTCAGTTTCATTGTCTAGCAGTTAGGATAAATTTTTGTGACAGATTTCTTTTTTGTCTAATAAAAAACTACTTTAATTGTGATCAAAAGAACAAAACAAACTAAAAATAATCGGATAAAAGACTAAAAGTCAAGTCAGTGCTTAATGCTGTAATGCTGGTGCGTTTAAGCATTCCTTTTCAGTTTAAAACAAAAACAAGAAGAGTGTTTGCTTTCGTAAAGACTAATTCAGCCAATTTGAATTGATTGGTATTGACAGTTTCTGCAATTTTAATAAAATAGGAATCTCATAAAACTATCATTAGGGCCATAAAGACTATGAGTCTAAACATGACAACATGTCGACTAGCATCAGATTCGAATAGCGCAAAACCCAATTATTCTACCAAGCGTATCATTTTGTCCATCTGTCAGAAAAGCGTTTTCTCGTCTGATTTTTACGCAATTTGTTAAAATTTGCTATTTGCAGGCTGCGGTTCAATGCAACTTCAGACAACATCAAAACTGAGTGAATAGATAGCTTTCTGCTTTATGGGCATATATGCTAGACAGACCTGATTGTGTATCTGCAGGTTTGCGGCAGTGGGGGCGGCGAAGAAGCTCTGATTGGCGGCTGCTGCTGGGGACGTGTGAGGGTTACCCGGTTGGTGGTGGTGGTGGTAAGTCAATCCCGCTGTCCCGGTTGAGCTCTCAGCTGCTAGTTCGACCGCGTAAGCCAAGCTGAAAAAAGTTTCGGTTTTAGTGCAAGTAATCTAAAACTTCAAATAAGGCAAAACTTGAACGCAAGTTAAAATTTAAGTAAGTATATTCAATTAATAAACTTACGCTTGTTGTTGCGAAGTCCATGCATCTGTTGTGCTAATGAATGGCGACATTCCTGAAAAAAAATTTCAATTATTAAGGAAAATTTCGTAAGTCTTTTTTAGATTCGCCAGAGCTCCCAAAAACAGGTAATTCAAATTCAATATTCAACGAACCAAACGATCGAAATCAACACTTAAATAATCTTGTGCAGTTTTAAATTTGGTAATGAGATTGCATAAACTTATATCAAAAACTGGTATCAAAAAGTTGCAATGCTACATGAATGGTGAAATTTTCGAAGGAAAATCTGCGGTTGCTTTCCAGTAGAATTTGTTTATGTTATTCAATATAATAGGTTTGACTAACTAACTACAGATTTACACTGTACGAGTTCGCTATTGGTATCTGTCTTACAGTTTTTCAAGCAAAACATTTCCGACAAAAATTCTATTTCTTTGAGAATTTTCTGGTGTTCGACTTAATACTTGGCGAGAAACTGAACATAGCCACTGTCGCGAACTGTAGCCACTGAACATAGCCGCTGTATTTTCGAAGAAAGTAACGCAATCAAGTTTCAGAATATTACAAATTTTGAAATATCGCGACTAATTTTTGTTTTTAGACAGTTGCCATTTGTTAGACTATCCCGACTTACTTTCAGACTTCTGCGACTAATTTTAAACTATCACGACTAAATTTTAGACGGTCAGGACCCAAATTAGACTTTGTTCGCCACTATGAAAATGTTTCAAGCCTATGAATTATTGGTCACGGAATTAACTTAGGTGTGAACTTGAAAGTCCAAAAATAAATCGCGGATCTCGACCCTTGAGCTGTAAAAATAGATTTGTTTTGCATTTTGAGCGAAAGCGGTTTAATTAAGAAACACTTACCGGCGTATGACGCCAATAGATGAGATTGCTGACTCGGAATAGCTGCGACTGGACTGGCTGCCGTTAGCGTCGGAACGTGTGCTACAGACATCTGGACGTAGTTGCCGTGACTACCCATCACTGATGCTTGAGAAGTCAAATTGTCCCCCCTTTGGGCACAGCCGAACAGTCCATTGGGGATGATTCTCGGGTGAACCTGTTTGTAAGTGGGCGATGTGGGGGATACATTACTCGGCATTGATTGCAAACTGGAAGAGGCGCTCAAGGAGGGGCCAAAAGTGAGTGGCTGGTTCTGATCGGAAGACAAACTAGAGGGTAGGGTGTTGTTCTGCATGTTTTGCAGTTGCTGCTGTTGTGCTTCGCTCTGGGCTGCTATGTTGTTCACATGGATGAAGTTTGGGTGGTTGTGGTATTTCTGCATTTTGGTGTTCGTCTTCGCAAACTCAAGTCGGATTGTCATGGCAACGTCGGGGTCAAACCTCACGCCCTGAAGTTAAAAGGAATATTATATGTGGCTGTAGGTTTGAACATTTTGCTATTCAGTTCTAATTATTCGATCAGTCGAATTTTTAACAAGAAACTTCTGTTTCTTGTAGAAAATTCTAAGAAACTCAGAATATATTTTTTTCTCTAAGTCAAGAAAAGGTGTTCTAGCAGTTTCTGGCTCAATCAATTTTCCTTACTAGGAAAAAGATATTGGCGTTTGGTGTCCAAGTAGTATTTATATTAGTGAGAAACAAGTGTCACGTTCTTACCTGTAGAGATTGTTTTGCTTTCTCTGCACTCAACTTCGAATCGAACATGACAAATGCGACCGGCTAAAATTGATATTTTCCTTAAGAAACAAGCAAACAAAGGTGAACCTCTGAATTATTATTATAAAAGCTTATAAATACAAGTTCAATTTTCGAAAGCGAAGAAAATGGATGCAGTTGATAAGTTGATTTTAGACTCTTACCGCATAAGTTTTTGCCTAAAACACAAAATTAAAAACATGAGCTCACATACTTGGTTGGTTTTTTGTAAAATTTTTAAAAAAATGCTTACGTCGTTAAGTTTAGGCGTGTTCTTCAAAAACGATCCCTCGTAACCCTAGAGAATAGTTTCATTTTGTAAGAAAAAAAATGAAAATGTTATGAATACTAAAATTATGTTGATGCTGGTTAAAGAAAGGAAAGTGACCTTGAAGTTGCGGAAGAGAAGGTAGAGTTCACGCGGCTTCGTGTCCATGGGCAGTCCACTGACAAATAGCGTCCTTACCTGAAAGGAAAAATCCTTGATTCCGACAGAATGTTTCAAAGATCTCAAACATAATATCGAAAGATAGCCGCGAGAAGACTGAAGATCAAAAGAGTAGTTGACGCATAAAAACAGTTCTTTTTGTTATTTTTCAGCTTACAAAAACCATTTGGCTCTCTTCTATGATAAAAATGATCAATTTTATTGATTATTAGAAAATTTACACCATTTATTTATTGGGCTTTAGTGAAAAGTTTATGGACCAAAAAAGTTGATGGTATCAGGGCATATTCCTTTGATCCTTGATTCACTGCCTGTATGAGCAACTTTCAAGAAACGGTGACATGTTACAATAGGTGGTAATTTTAAGTATAGTTCATTAAATTAGAAAATAGAAATTAGACATATTTGAGAGTCATAGTAATCGGTTTTGAAAAATGACT